CCCTGTCTCCAGCTCCAGAGAAGTCTTAAAGGGACCTCAAATTACAGCGACACAGTCCACAGGCTAGGTGTCTCAGAGGTAGTGTAGCCTTTAAATTGAGGCACAAAACAAGTAAGGCCACACACCGGTCTGATGATCACAGAGAGACAAGAAAGGCGAGGCTCACCAAGCCATTTATCTCTCCACCCTTCAGTCAATCCCACCTGTGTTTATCAGCTAGGCTGGCACAGCAAACTATCTCAAAGGTAAAGTATTCTTGAATGGATTATGCTAGCCAACCATGTCAATTACATTATCCAGATAATTATAAATATTCTTTATATTTTAGGTGATTCAACCTGTGGAGCTATAGTAGCTATTTCTATACATGTCTGAATAGTAAAGCAAGAAAAACAATATTTCTCATGGTGCTTATGTAAATATCTAGAGTCTTAGAAGAAGAAAGCCATTCTTTTTAGTCGTTGTAAACTTCATTTTAAAAGCTGCTTTATATTCAGAGACAACCAAGTGGTGCTTACCTTGTTATGTAGGCTACATTAATTATTTCTAATCCCTACCAAGCCCCTGAAAGGTAAATGCTATTATTAAAAAAAGAGACAACTCAGGGTCAAAGAAGTTGATATACTGAGGAAGTTAAGTGTTGGTGCTAATATTCACAAATAGACGTCTCTTTTGTAAGATCATCTTAGAAAATAGCCTCTATGTATGTTGTAGAGCCTATTTATGACTATTTGATTGGCTTCTTTATGCCTAATCTGTTGGTTCAGTTTCGGAATTACCTGTCTGATTAATTTACCTAAAGGCTGGCAACAGAATTCCAAATCTGTTCATTCCAATTTTCCCTGCCCCCTAGTTCAATCTCTCCATATAGATAGGGTCACCACTATGAGTCAGAATTGGCTCAGTGGCAGGGAGTGAGACCCTAAATATATTGAATTAGGGGTCTGATTGGTAGCCATATGAAAATGTTTGAACAGAGGTTACATTTTTAAAAAGGAATACCTGAGTGATATTAATGGCTAAGCACTTGACAACTAACCCCAAAAGCAAGAGTTTGAGTCCCCCACAATCACCTCCGAGAAAGACCAGGCATTCGAAAAGATCACAGCCACAGGAGAGCCCTATGGGATACAATTCTGTTCTGACACACTTGAATCAGATCAACTCAGTTCAGATCTGCTTTGGGTTTAAGGTTTTACAAATATGTTTGTGTTCCTGAGGATGTCAGATGTGTGACTGGGAACATGTTATAATCGTATCATAGAAAATGTAAGTGATTGGGAATTTAAATCATGCCATTCCAACTGATTTAGAATTTGATCTCAAATCACTTTCCCAGTGTGGGCTTTCGCTTCTCATGCAGTTTTTCTCATGTGACCAGTACTCTTCGCTTCAGTTTTGTGCTCCAGATAACGTGTCCTTTCCCAAGACTTTACCTTTGTTGACGTCTTCGTGACCTGACACACCCTTCCCCATCACCACCAGTTCACAGTCTTTCTCGCCTCCCTTGTAGAAGGTCTTTCTTTATCACGCATTCCTTCCTTCCGAGACTCAGGTCTCTGAGCTGATAGACTACTGTCTGTGTGAAGCACTCCTTTTCCATTTGATATTTAATTTTGGATTGTGTCTTTTATCTATTGATAGTTCCTCCCAATCATTAATTCTGAGCTTTAAGGGGATAAATGACACCTGCAGTGCATCTTATGCAGTCATAAGCCTTGCACATTGTATACACACATCAAGTAATATCAAGTATTAGTGTAACTCTCGAAGGCAGAGCATTTGAAAAGTGTGTTCATACCAGTGCCACCGATGGGTGCGACATGTTCCTCAGAAAGGATGGTTTTTGGTCAAGTCATTGGGAGACAGTCTGTCCGTTTCCCTTGCACAGCTTTGGAAACTGAACACAGTCACATTTTCAATACTTCTAAGCAGTGCTTCGGCAGCGAGACCATTGTTTTAAAACTTTCCAGTTTTCCTCCCATTTTTATTCATAAAGCCCCTAATATAGTCATCATTTTTCTCCTTCAGGGTTCCAGCTCATTGCTTCTTCATTCAACTTTATTTATTTTATTTTTATTTTAAAGACTTTTTTATTGTAAATTAGGAGGGTGGGGGTTTACATTTCAGATCACCTACCTTGCATCCAACAGTTTAAAGTGCTATCAGCACCCTGATAGTTTACCCTTCACTCACTCTGATTTGCCTTCTTCCTCATATGGACTACCATCTTCCGTTTCACCCAAGATGTGCCCACTAAGGGTCTCTCCCTCCCTAATTATCTCTCCCTGCTGGGCAATCTCCCAATTCCATTTTATTTGGTATTGAAAGTCTTTCTCTTTCTTGTTGTCGTTGCTTCTCTTATGTCAATTTATATAATATAATATTTGTCCTTGCGTGATTGGGCGATTTCACTAAACATGAACTTTCTCCACGTCTATCTATCATGCGGTGCATGCAAATACATTATTCTCTAAGATATTTTTGTACGACCCTGCTTTGAACTATTTTTGTGTGGACTGTATGCTGATAATATTAATAAATGTGGAAACCGAATTTCAGTTAACTGTTCTGTGCGCATCTTGTTTGGCCTACCTGCTTTTTTGATAGGGGAAAGCACCACCCCACCGCTGCATTGGTGTGTCTATGTATGTGTGTGTGCCTGTATGTGAGAATCAAATATACCGTGTGAGCTCAACTGGAGCACAGACTCAGACTGAGAAGACAATGCTCCGAACTGGTCTTTCAGCTTGATTATCTGCTGGAATCTCTATCGCTTCTCATCATGCGCTTGCAAAGCTTTGTTTGACCGCAAGGGCACTGAGCCCGTCCTCGTTTACAAATATGAATGCAGCTAGGCGGTATTGCTCACTGCCGACGTGTGTGTTTGCTTCCTCACAAAAGGATTATCTCTCTCTCTGGAATTAGACATGGCAGCGTTCATGGGAACAGCAGAGGTCTGAGAGTCAGAAAGTTTGGATTTGATTCCTAGCTCAGTCCTCTGTGAGCCTGAACATGTTATCCTTTCTAGGTCTACATTTAATGAGATGAATCACACCTGTCTCTAATCTCAGCTTAGGGGGCTTAAGTAATCTATGAGAAACCCTTGACACTGTTCCTGGCTCAAAGGAGATGCTTGATGAATATTATTTGCCTTTTCAGTTATTGTTGTAATGGACAGATTATGACAAAGAGAATTCCAGAAGCAGAAAATCATACAGACATAACTGTCCCTCTTGCTCCGTGTTGTTATTTCAAACCATAAATGCTTTCACTCTCTTTTGTGTCCTCTATTTTTATAGGGAAACTGTGAACTGGAGGATAGTGGAAGTTGAATTACTATCAGTGAGGAGCAAGTTTTTATTCCAAGAATATGGGAATAAATATATGAATACATTCTAAGCATATGTGAATAAATATGTAAATAAATAACCTGGACAAATCTTTAAATCATTTTAGTCATCTGAAATAATGAAAAGCAAGTTAGAAATGCAAGTCTGGCTAGACCAGAGGATGTACACTGGTACAGATAGGAACTGAAAATACAGGGAATCCAGGGCGGATGAGCCCTACAGGACCAGTGGTGTGAGTGGCGAAACAGGGAGGGTAAAGGGAGAATGGGTAGGAAAGAGGGAACCGATTGCAGGGAGCTATGTGTGACCTCCTCCCTGGGGGACGGACAACCGAGAGGTGGGTGAAGGGAGACATCGGACAGGGCAAGATATGACAAAATACCAATTTATAAACTATCAAGGGCTCATGAGGGAGGGGGGAGTGGGGAGGGAGGGGAAAAATGAGGACTTGATGTCGGGGGTTTAAGTGGAGAGAAAATGTTTTGAGAATAATATACAAATGCGCTTTACACAATTGATGTGTGTATGGATTGCGATAACAGTTGTATGAGCCCCTAATAAAATGTTTAAAAAAAAAAAAAGAACTTATGAAAAAAGGAAAAAAAAAAAAGCAATGTAGCTCTTTGAAAAAAAAAAAGGAATGATTCTATCATATTAACCTCTGTAGTTGTAAAGTACTATTCTCTGTCATTTTATATTTTCTGATAAAATCACTTCCTGTGGTGTTATTATATGAGTCCTGCAAAAGTTTCATTAATAGAAGGTTACTAGGATAATAGTAAATTTGAAAATACTTGTAATTAGAATGCATCTGTGCTATGTTTGTGGGTGTAATTTTTGTTTAGAAATTTATTTTATTGCATATACATATAATGTTTGGCTTTCAGCTTTTGTCTCAATTTATTATGAAATTTTAGGCCTAAGTCCATTTCCATTGTAGTTTCAGTTTATTTATCACCAGTCACAAACAGAAGAAAAGAGTCATCATATGACACTCTTATGCAAGGTTATGTATTTGACTGTGAAAATATCCAGAAGAAAATTATAATGAGTTTTTTCTTAATACAATACAATAAATGTTCCCCGTGCATTATGGACTTAGACCCAACAGATTACCCCCAGTTTCATTTTTTCAGAAAAATACCTATTTATTTTCCTTCTCACTGCCATGGAGACATGCTGACTCAGCACTCCCTGTGGGTTTCTGAGACTGTCACCGTTGATGGGAGGAGAAGCCCAGTCTTTCTCCCTTGGAAGATGCTGGTGGTTTCAAACTGCTGACCATGTGGATAGTAACCCAATGCATATTCATTACATGATGATTGCTGCAGTCATTGTTGCCTCCACCCAACCACTGCTAGCATTTTTCCCTGAATGAAGCCAACTATGAAGGATGTTAAGTGGGAATTTGGCAGTGGTATCAACCTTTCTAAATGCTGAGTGACCTCCAGGCAATTTTTCTTGACAAAATACTAAGAAAGGCAGACAAAACTATCCTTGGGTTGTTTGTTTTGTCTCTTTACTGATTTGGACACCAGGAACGGTCTTCTGAGTTAAACCAACTGAGGGAACAGTGGACCCTAACATGCCTTGGACTGGTCTCCATTGTGCTTTAATCATCACGTGTCCTCGTCCGGTTGCTTGCAGGAGGAGACGTATCAGGGAGTCTTTGTCCAGCACCTCCTCCTCCGGAACAGATGGCTTGTGAGATCCCCTGCCACATGGACTGTGTGGTCAGTGAGTGGACAAAGTGGACAGCCTGTTCCCAGTCCTGTACAAATAAAAACTCAGATGGAACACAGAGACGATCGAGGATCATCTTGGCATTGGCCGGAGAAGGTGAGTAAAGGAACAGTGTTGACATGAGAGTCATTTGGTCAAGAATTGTTCCCTGACAGGGAACGGAAAAGTTTATATTGTGAATGCAGCCACACCAGTGGTCCAATTTGTGCCCTGATTCCAAGTGCCTGTCGCCCAGTGCTCTCACAACAGCAACACAAGAATACCACACGGGGCCGGCTTTCAAGAACAGAATTTTATTTTCTCTCAGTTAAAGAGAGTAAAAATCTGAATCAAAGTCTTGACCGTGCTGATCTTTCTTAGGGCCTCTCTCTAGTTTCTGGGAAGTTTAATAACACTTGCTGCTCCTTTACTGCTTATAGATGCTTATGACTTCACCATCATCTTACGTCCCCCTGAGCATTTGTGACGGGTCTGCTGTTTTATAAGATGCTGCTCAGAAGAGCCTCAGTTGAGGGCCAAACCTAATCAGCATAACAAAGGAAACACTTCATTTATCACAAAGGATCAAATGTGCCAGTACAGTCCTTAGAACTTCAGAGTAACTTTCTTTTTAAGTAGTTTCATTGACATACAATTCTGCTAGCATACAACTTAATAGTGCAATCATATTAAGAAGAGTTGTGAGATCATCAGCACAATCCATTTAAAAACATTTTCTTCTTTCTCTTCTTCGCTGCTGTTCACCCCCCCATCTTACCCTAACCATTTTTGCCATGCCCCTAGATAATTATTAACGGGGTTACTGTCCTATAGATTTACCTGTCCTGGATTTCAAAGAAAAGCATACAAAACTGAAACAAGACACAGAGAAATGAAAAACAACCCAATGATGAAGACAGCAAACAAGCCTCCATCAGATTTCTCAGTAGCTGGTACATTTCGTGATGCTTTTTTTGAGAAGAGGCGGCCAGGCTTGGTTGACACATCCAGGTTTGGGTAGCGGTAGCTCATGTAGCCCGGAGCAAAATTGGAATATTTTTGGTAAAACAAGATCTAAATTAGGAATCAGGAGACTTGGCTTCTTGACCTGGAACTGCCACTAACATTGGCAAGCTACCCGATCCTTAAGCCCTGGGCTCCTGTTCTGTCATGCTGGCCTGTGGGCAGGGGGAGAAAGATGAAGGCTGTGAAAATGGCTTTGAAGGAACTAGAAAGTGCTTTGGGAATGTAGACAGGTGACATCGGGACAAATTAAAGGAACAGATGTTCCAAACATTTATAGCACTGGGCTCTGCCTCCTGGCACACATGCCTGTCATTCCTTTCATGCCCTCCCAAGACTTTGTCTGCTTAGGACTCTGTTGGAACAGCAAACTATTGAGTGTTCTGACTGTGAGGAAATCCTTTTTCAAAAGAGTTCTCATCTGTGATTCAGAGAAATGGGGCCAGGGTTGAGATGAATCAACATTTTTATATTCTTAAGGTATGCTTTCTTTCTTAGCTTGCCTTTTACATTTCTAGAAGAGGAAAACGAGGCAGTAGTATTTAATGGGGAAAATATAACAAGAATTACAAAACCGAGGTCTCAAATATTTTCAAGCACCAGGCCTATTGAATAAAACATTATAGGGTGGATGACTAGGAAAAGATCAATACTGTAGAGAAATAACACTTTTACATGAATATAAAAATGTGAGGGGAAAGATAGTAATGAGTTTGATTGTCTTATTCCCCTGAGTGTGAAAAGGCATACTTGCCTGGTCCTCTGCCCGTGGACAGCACTGTCAGGGATGTCAGAGATTCAGGATGGGTTCTCACTTGCCGAAGCTTAGCAGATACTTCCAGATTTCTCAAATATCAGTGAAGTGTATTTTTTTGAATGAGTGTCTTAAAATGGCTCTCTAAGAAAAACAATTCTCAGGGAAAAGTCCCATGTGTGCGTAGTTGTGCATGTGTGTATCCTAAAACATACCAGTTTAAGTCATTGGCTAATAGATCTATTTATTCAAAATATAATAACATTAGAAGAAAAGCCATTTGTAAAGCTTTTCTCAAAGTATGTATTCCAGAACTGGGTGGTAGAATGTATTTGTTTTATAAGCGAATAGGCATGGACACTTGCTTGATATTTGGGACAGAAGAGGACAATGTTACCCGTGGTTGTAATACAGGACAAAATCGCCACGCCTTTGACTGAGATGAAGAGTTGCTCAGGCCGTTTGAAAACAGTGTCAGAAGCTCCGTTCTATAGCTCATTAAGTCGGCAAGGTCACAGAAGCAGCAGTAGCAACCCAAGGACAGCAGCCGCAGCAATGGTGTATCGTCTTTTCTTTTAGGTGGGAAACCATGTCCTCCTAGTCAAGCCCTCCAAGAGCAGCGCTTGTGCAGTGGCCATTCCTGTGTGCAGCTCTACTGGGAGACATCACCGTGGGGCCCCTGTTTGGAAGGCACGTTGGTGCCCTCCCTTAATGCGACCATTGGCTGGAATGGAGGAGCTACGTGTGGAGTGGGCTTTCAGACGCGGAGGGTCTTCTGTGTCAAGAGTCATGTGGGACAAGTGATGGCCAAAAGGTATTGATTTACTACTGACAGTGTTGATGATTATTGGAACATTGCGATTTGGATAACTGATGATTGGCTAGTTGTAGCAAAAAACACAACACAACAAAACTGATTTATCAAGTAAGCTAACATGCCTGGTTTGTGTGATGATAACATTTTTAAAAAAACAAGTTTATTTATTAATTTTTACTTTTAAAAAGTAAAATATATGTCTCAAACAAAGATAAATATAGTTACAGTATGACTCACGTGGGCGGTTATGCATTTTAGCTAATCAATGAAATTATGCCCACACATATTGAATGCTTTAATAATCAAACACATTTCTATAGCTCATGTCAGCATTTTAAAATCTTCTCCAATCATATGAGGATCGAGCAGCACCTTGAAAGCATTTTGAGTCACATGGTGCACCTCTTTAACAAAGCAAAAATAAAGAAAACTGAAGGACCCAAGACAGGGTGGACTCGTGGTAATGCCTTACGTCACAAACTGTGCTTCATGGGATTTTCAGGGTAGGACCTTTCAGAAGTGACCTCCGGTGATGACCTGTCTGTGGGATTCAGGGACTTGTTTTGAAGGAAACTTCTGCCAGCCCCACACATCTTTCATGTAGTAGGCAGATCAATTCATCAGTGGTTTTTGATTATACTTATCTCTGTCTGATCTCCACTAGGTTAGAGCCTCGTACTGAACACCTACCCCAAACGTTGGTAGTTTCAGGTGCCACCCTGAGGTGCCTTGGAAGACGAGCTAGGCAATCTGCTTCAGTTCTGCTCGGCAGAAGAACACAGGGTCACCATGATTTTGAACAAACTCATGACAATAATAATACTGTGCACACAGATATGTCTCAAGAATACTAGAATACAAATTTGGACATGAGGACTAGGATATAGATATTAGAGAGAGTCCTTGAAATTGTAAATGATTGGGAGGAAAAAAGAGTAGTTGACCAGCAAACAAAGTTGTTGAAATTTTATTTCTAGACCAAAAGAGGGGACATAACTCTTCCCCAAGTCTATGTGGAAAAGTTTGTGAAAAAGAAATGGAAGGGGGCTATTTTCCAAGTGACTGGTCTGTTAATAGGGATTCCTCCCCCAGAGTCCATGCTTGAATTCCACCTTCATGTGGTCTAACTGCCCCCACCCCCACCCCACCCAGAGCCACAAGGTAGGTTGGTGTCAGTTTGGGCTCCTGACACACACTAGGCAACATAGAGTCCTTGTCCAGAACCTGTCAAGCTGAAGCTGGAAAAATAAAGCTCCCTTTCTTCCTGCCCCTGATGTTCTACGCCTATGAACTCAAACTTGTCCCAGCCACGGTTGAACATGAGATAAAAATCAGAAAGAGAAAGTGAAACTGAGCCCCAACAAAAGCAGCCAGGGAGGCCAGCAAGGGCTGGCAGCATCGAACCCTGGTCTCATTCTTTCTGACAGCATCCTTCCAGTTTTAGCAAAGTATGATTCTGTCCAACTCAATAGAATTTGGGTTTGCTGCTTTGGGTGACTGGAACACCTATTTAATTCAGTCGGGGACACCATAGTGAAGGAATCTGGGCCACATCCACATGATGATGGAAGGCTCTTTGGCTGAATATAGGTGGGTCAAGGATGGTGGTTTCACGGACATGACACGGCGGTGGCAGAAGTAGTGCAGACGGGCCATGAGCAGATGGCTCTGCAAGTGAAACAAAGGTAAGGTGACCAGACGTCCCACTTTTGGCAGGACAGTCCCAATTTTTGGTCTTTTAAAAAAGTGCTGATTTTTGGAAAGAATGCACAACAAGCTAGGGAATGGTCTATCCAACTTTTTAATCAAGAAACCCCCCTCCCCCAGTCAATGGTGTCCCACTTTAAATCTGGTCACCATAAACAAGGGTGACTAAGAGCCGAAATGCAGCCCAGCAAGGAGGCCCTCACTCTTTCTATTTCTACATGTAGCCTCCAGAAAATCGGGCGTTGCTGTTTCTTATTGTGCAATCTCTGAGTTTCCCAGGGTCCGACGTGTAGCTGTGCTTGATGAATACTTCTGAGCTTCACCCATGAACTACACCATGAGAACTTGGAATGAGAAAAGGGGCTGATTTCTTTTTTTTTTTTTAATCATTTTATTAGAGGCTCATACAACTCTTATCACAATCCATACATGCATCAATTGTGTAAAGCGCATTTGTACATTCATTGCCCTCATCATTCTCAAAACATTTCCTCTCCACTTAAGCCCCCCGCATTAGGTCCTCATTTTCCCCCTCCCTCCCCGCTCCCCCCTCCCTCATGAGCCCTTGATAGTTTATAAATTGGTATTTTGTCATATCTTGCCCTGTCCGAAGTCTCCCTTCACCACTTTTCTGTTGTCTATCCCCCAGGGAGGAGGTCACATATAGTTCCTTGTAATCAGTTCCCTCTTTCCTACCCATTCTCCCTCTACCCTTCCAGTATCACCACTCACACCACTGGTCCTGTAGGGATTTTCCACCCTGGATTCCCTGTATTTCCAGTTCCTATTTGTACCAGTGTACATCCTCTGGTCTAGCCTGACTTGTAAGGTAGAATTCGTGTCATGATAGTGGGAGCGGGGAGGAAACATTTAGGAACTAGAGGAAAGTTGTATTTTTCATCATTGCTATATTGCCCCCTGACTGGCTCGTCTCCTCCCCGAGACCCCACTGTAAGGGAGTCTTCAGTGGAAGGGGCTGATTTCTATTCTCTAATAATTATATGACCTACGAGGATAAGCCTTGGTAAAGAATCTTGTCATGCAAAATAGTGACCAGATATCTACTTATCTACAACCTTCCTGTTGTATAAACGTATAAATACTATTGTTTCTACTCTCGCATCAAACTCTACACAGCTTGCAATATTTTGTGGGGATTTGTTTTTCTCTTTTGCTTCGATTAACAGCCATCATCTATGTTTCCCAGCTTTGCATGCAGCCCTGAGACCAGGTGAAATGATCTAATCAATGAAAGGTATAAGCAGATGGGAAAATGACATCTGTATGTCACCTGGCTTAAGTGACAGTCAAAGCCATTGCTAACACTCTAAAAGACATAGTAAGATACTCTCTCTATAAGAGTGCCTTTTATCTGTGAAGGATTATTGTCTGGATAGTATTCATCTTTGTTACCTAACTTCTCAACTACTTTATAAAAAAAGATACTGGAAACATCAGAATGAATATCCACTTAAAAGTAAATGTAGCTGAGGTGTAGAAGACCCTGCATAAACTAAACTATCATTCTCTGTAGTGACGGAATGATTCAGCCACCTAGCATCTGATCTTTTCCTACCACAAAATGTTTCAACTCTTAACCCAAGCAGAAAAAACAAAAAACAAAACAACTACTTATCGCACATATAGTGTTGTTTACTTAGCATAGAGCACTTAAACTGAGATGGACACCTAGTGAATGAAGGATCTTCATGCTGCAAAGGGTTATGAAGATATGAAAAGTTGGTTTTTATGTTTAAATTGTCCTCTATTTTCTTATGTCCTCATAATTACTTTGACTTACAGTGTTTTGAAAATAAAACTCTCTGAACAAACAATTTGCTCGCTGTGGTTTATAGACTTTAAGATTTGTTTTGATCTCCTACCCCACCCCCCTTCAAAAAAAGTCACAAAATTATCATAGAGCCAAAAGTTTCCAGTTGAAGCCTAAGTCATGGACTACTATGGATGGGCTTGAAAGTTTACACACATGAGATAGACTATGTGTCATCACACAGTGAACAACCCTAGTATTTTTTCCTGGTTTATCAAAAAGAATTGCACAGATGTTTTCTCCCAAACACACATCCATATGAAGACATTGCTAATTACTATTTCTTTTTCACTGTTAATGAGACTGGAGACTTCACAACCTAGCTTTAATTCTTACTGTATGTCTCCAATCAGCCCTGCTAAGCATGAGCAGCATACATTGACTTCAGTAAAGTTAATTAAAAGTCTTGAGGTTAATGAGATTAATTGAGTTGAGAACATATGTAGTGGCCACACTGAGATTATCAGCCATAGGATGCATCTTTCATTCTTTCCTTAAAATTTTATGTACTATATATTATACTATTATCTATATACACAAATAAATTTTTCTCTGTTTCACGTGAAAGTCTGGATGATGAAAAATATATCTCGATAACTCTGACGTCTTTTGGTGGGATAAGGGAGATGAAGAAAAAATATCCTAAAGAGTAGCCTGAAGGTAGAGAGAAAGCGCTGCCTTCATGCAATGATTGGGCTAACAATAATGTACACAGTCTCAAAACCCCGCTCATGGGTTTTTGCGAGTTCTTGTATCCCTGGGTTGGTATGTTGCTTTCCATGTAATTGTAAAGGTGAGAATGTTACTATTGTAAAGTAATAGAACTGATCCTATCAGAAAATGAGAACCAGGTGGGGACAAGGGAGCCCAAAGTGAGAGCTTGTTGGGAGAGTTCTGGGGTTTTGTTTGGTTTGGTTTTGCTTTTCAATACCTTCTTTCCTATTAAAATGTACTCCCGGAAACAAAACAAAACAACCCCCCCTCAAAAAACCCCCAACACAGCAATAATATAAAGATTACAAACACACAATCCATACGTAGCCTTCCAAAGTTCCCGATAAGGCAGTTTCTGCCTTTTGAAGGTGAAACACCTGGCATTTTGTGAGCTATAGTAAGAAATGGCTCCATTTTAGCATTCACTGTCTAGAAAGCTGGCAGGTTTGCCCCGTCTCGGAGAGTAAGACAGATGCACCAGTGGCTGGCGGATGGCTGATAAAGGAGCTGGAGCACGATGTGTCTGCAGCTTGCTTGCGGAGGCCTAACTGAAGAATGGCCAGTCACTGTAGCTCCATTTGATTCCATCCAGCACCAGGCCTATAAGGAACTAAAGCCTACAGGGCAAGCAAGAGACAATAGCTATAGAATAGTCCAGCCCAAGTCCAGGGATATGGATGTACTAAAATCGAAAGCATCCATCCTTTCATTGAGAGCACTGCCAATCTGCGATCAGATTGTTAACTCAAAAAGAAGAAATTTAAATTGTGACTGAAGGCAAGAGGCCACACTTTATTTAGCAGCTAAAAAGCGAATCCATAGGCTTGCATTTATTTGAAGGTTTCAAATTTGCTTTGGAAATTGCCATCGAAATTAATGTAATATCCCTAGTGACTTATTGATATTCAGGCTCTGCTAGCATGGAACACCATTCCATCTTTTACCTACCATTACTAAATATTGACCAGAATGCTCCTTAGAAGTGTGGATTGTGTTTTAAAGATTTGATACAAGCTAGAATGTCACCATCCAGGCATGGAAACCACTTGTGTCAACAGTGCACACACACAAACAACACCAACACCAAACCAGCAACATCAAGGATGTCAAAACCGCTTTGAGAAAGTCACAATACAGAAGGACAGAAATGAAGCCTTTTAGTTTAGTTTATTTATTTTAGTAAAAGATCGTTTTATTGGGGGCCTCACAGCTCTTATAACCATGCATACATCAATCGTATCAAGCATATTTATATGTAGCCATCGTTGTTTTCTAAACATTTACTCGTTACCGAGCCCTCAGTATCAGTTCCTCTGTTCTCCCTCCCCATCCACCCTCGTGATCCTTTGATAAATTGTAAATTATTATTATTTTCATAACGTACACTGGCCTCTGTCTCCTTTCCCCCATGGTTTCTGTGGCTCACTCCCCTGGGGGTGAGGGTGGTGGGGTGGTTATGTGTCGATCGTTGCCATCAGTTGCCTCTTTGGTATTCACTTGTTTTGTGCAAAGAGGATAATATTTGAAGAATGGGAGAAAATGTATGGAGATTAGAAATCTGGTGACCCTTGAAGAGTCAGATAAATAGAAAAGAGGAGGGAGTAAAATCACTGAAGAACAAGGTGAACTTCACTGGCCAAGAAATGAAAAGATACTTTAACTGACTTTAGAGAATGTGTGGCCCCGACTGAATCAGAAGTCACGCCTGTGGGCCAGAAAGGCCCCCATATAGTGGCCTCTGAAAAAGGACAGCCCATATCACTTCTCGGCCTTTTGGCTAAGATCAAATGTAGTATCTGTTCTTATCAGTTTAATATCTGATACATCCTCTATCCGAGGGCAATATATTAAATGGATTTTTGGAGCAGGGAGGTGGAATAGGAGCTTGCTCTGTCCACTCCACGCATTGACCTGGTATTGCAGTACTTCCAGGAATGGTGCACCCCCACCCCCACCCCCAGGGGAATCTTAAAAAGAAAAAGAACAGCCCAAGATTGGTTTCATGAAATGATCATCTTTTGTGAAAGAAAAGGGCTGTACTATGAAGGGCTGACATTATTCCCAGTGAGTGTTTATTGTGAGTTCTATTTATAAAGGGTAAATAAGTAGGAAACATCACTGTCATTAAAGGGACAACTACCACCCATCGGTTAGTTCTTCAGACTATGGTAACATGTGTTGGTTTGATGCTGAAAGCTACCTACCGTCCCCCACAGTGAACACTTTCCTGTGGAGCTTCCAGACTTAGACAGATTAGGACAAAAGGCCTGGCACTCCACTTCTGAAACTTAGCCAATGAATACCCGATGGGTGACAACAAATTTGGAAATAGTTTTGTTGACACATAATTCACATATCATGCACTTCAATAGTTTGGTCACATCAGAAGGAGTTGTCCTATCACCACCCCAATCAGTTCCAGAATAGTTTCTTCCTTCTTGTTATCATTGCTTCTGACTTTGCATTTTCTTCCACATGCCCAGGAAGCCAGTCACCCAGCTGCTGTCTCTCTGGATTTTCCTGTCCTGGAGATCACATTCTAGAAAACATTTTTTTTAAAGCAGCAACAAACAAAACCCAGTAACAATAACAAAATAAACCAGAGGACAATCTCAATCAAAAAAGGAAGTAGGAAATATTAAAAAGCAGAACAAACTTAAACAGGGAGGTCAAATGCTAAGGTGTTATATTTTAACCTCACTAGTTCTACGGTGATCTAAGGTCTACAGTAATCCACTTTCAATGCACTCTGTATGCTGGTAAGACTACTCACATCCCCGCTGCTCCATGGGGGTGACAACAGATTTTTATCTGATGTAGTGCTTCAAGATGAGCCCCTAGGCGGGAAGGCATTTAAAATACCGAGTGGCCTAGGTCACAGATTTCAGAATGCCAAACCCTATTAAGAAGATGAAGGGCCAGGAAAGACAAGGCTTGATTGTGTTGTACATCAAGTCCATGGGTCTGAGTTCCCTGAACATCACATTACAATAATCAAAGAGATGACACTGTTATTTATCCCCTTGAGGGGCCATATATCCAACCATGTGATGGGCTCCCCCTTTCTCCCCTCCCCCCCTTCTTCCAGTCCGATGTCTCATTCTTCATATAACGCAGTTTCCCCGATGATTTGCTCAGCATGAAGCTTGAATGAGGATGGTGAGAGGATACAACCGTGCTTTGTTTTGTTTTTTCCATTGTTGCCCTGACCACTTGACATCTCTTCTCTTCCTTTGTTGGTGTGTTTGACATTTGGGCAGTCACTCCGGTGGGGCGTTGGTCAAGTTGCATATACTTGATGACCTTTTGATGCCAAATTGCTATACCTTCATGACTCAGTGCATATTTTAGTTCATTCTTTCTTTGTTAATTTCACATTCACCTTTGCATCTGCTCTCTCCTATTGGAACAGCGATTGACTGGCGATTTGAGTCTTTGCTGTCATAATTCCCCTCAGATGGTTCCTTGATGTGTGAATTTGAGCCCAGTATAATTTCAGTGACTCAGTTTTTGGTCTAAAAATGAAGATTACAGTTCCTCTCAGAGTTTTCACTGGATATAAGTAAAGAATGCAGAAAAATCTCTTAATGAAGCACCAACATTTTTGTACCCTAACTATCTAGTGCCAAAGCTTACATTATTAAGCTTCAGGTCTCTGCTTCTTCTCAAGAGCGATGGGAAACCATTTAACAGCCAGATACACGTTGCAGCATACGATCATTCTTCATCTCCATTGATCACTACTCCATGTAGTTTCTACCCTTCTCTGTGGATGAAAACAAGCAAACGCACGCACAGAGAAGGTTGCCTTTTTCTGAGATTTTAGGTTTTTCCAAATGCTTGTGAATCATTGACAATGTTATTTCTTTCCCAAATGGGAGCATTACATGAATTGTCAGAAAAATAAAATAACTGAAATGTCTCTCTCCTGATTGATGTCATTGTATTTGTTATTTACCCTCTGTCACATTTTGCTTACTCCTACCAAAGGAAATGGAATCTCATGGGCCAAGGATAATAAACTGAAGCCATACAAATACGTGTCATCTTAAATATTACATTATAATTTCTTCTTTTGGGGGGTTTGGTGGGATATTATTAATTTTAACTTTTACCCTTCTTAAAGCACTTTTACGAAAATATTTTTACTAATTTGCTAATTTTGAAAAAAGTTCTCTGTATTGATACTGATAGTCAGACACTCATTTGGCCCCTTTCTTATGCTTTATCTTTTCTGAGACATCCAGAGACATCATCAGTTGCAAGACTTTTCTTTTCTTTGCCAGTCTAAAAGAAGCTTGATTAATCTTCTGGGCTAAGAGAGTGCGAAACTGCTCTGCCCTCTTCAAAGATCCTGGCTCTGTGCACTTACTCTCTCTGGGAGACATTGATACATTCTTTTCCATTGACAGATGTCCAGATTCGACTCGGCCGGAAACGGCGCGCCCATGTCTCCGCCCGTGCAAAAAACACTGCATAGTGACACCTTTCAGTGAGTGGACCACCTGCCCGAGGTTCTGCCAAACAGGTAGTTGGATGCTGTCTTATAAGTGTTTCTTTCCTAACCACCTGATGCTTCTCCCACTGCTGAAAACATAACCATTTAACGAATGCCAGCATCTTTCTTTCTGCTCGTTTGTCAGCCTGGGAACTAGGTTTGTGCAAGTATGTAAATGAAATCTCTTCTTTCCAGATCCATCATAACTGAGAAGGAAAAGCACATGTAGGTCTGCTATGTTATAGTCTGGCACATGTTGTTCTGGAGTACTAGCTGCGGTCCTTGCTGTTGCAATTTTAGCATCCATCCAATGATGGTTACACATAAAGCACCATCATTATCACAATATCTTTGGGGCTCTAGTGTGCTTGGAGCCCAAACTTAAGTCCCTACCTAAGTCCTATGCTTATATTACTAATACATCTCTCTCAAAAACTCGACTGCCATTGGGTCAAATCTGACTCATAGTGAGCCTATGAAGTAGGGTCCTAGTGAACTGCTCCTTTGAGTTTCCAAGGCTATAAATCTTTATGGGAGCAGAGTGTCATTTATCTGCAACACAGAGGCTGGTTTGCAGCACCATGCATACCTGAACAATTCTTTGACGCACCTAGAGCCACACTTCATTGCAGTGGTATAGCAGGGTGCCCATATTAACATGGCATTGACTGCCACTTAAAACCATCTCCAAAGAGGTCGTGACAGCTGTTTGAACTTCTCATCATCAAATATTAGCCTCGCTGCAAAGATAAACTGAGGCCAGTCCAGAGAGAGGGAGAAGTTTACCCTGCCCTCCAGGTGAGATTCACCTGTCTGAGATGGGGCCAGTGAAGTCGTGCCTATCTGTGGTCAGGAGGGAACCCAGAAGGGAGGGCCAGGAGCTGCAGCTGCGGGGGGGTTCAGCCCTCTCCTGTGAAATTCCGAGACTGCTGGTGTCTCCATCTTTCCGCCTGATGCTGAGAACATGGCTCATTGTCTTGGAATGTCTTTGAGGCTAGCTGTCTCAGTTCGAGAATGGCAGGACAGGCTGTTTCTAATGCCCTCGACCTGTAACTAACCCAATATCATTGTCTTAAATTGCCTCCCACAGAGCTTTTATCACTTTGCCATTTTATATTCTCAATAGTGCCTTTTTTCCCCTGAGAATTATTTAGTGGCAATAAATTAGCTTTGCTGAACTATACATATTGAGTAGAACTTTTTTTTTCAATTTACCAGCTCTTTCCTTGGGGTTGGGGAGGGGGTGGGATACCAATCTCTTTCCAGAGACTCTCCAAAATATTTTTTCCTGAATGAAGATCCGAAGTAAATGAACTGAGTGAGTTGAGTAGCCAGACATTTTCCATTTCAAAATAGAATGGGCCAGCAAAGCCACCTCTGTACTTGGAGCCAGTTAACACGGAACATCTCAGAGGGGATTGTAATCGCAATAGACCTGCCTTGGAAGAATTAGAGCTAAAATGCTCCTTAGATGCAAGGATAGGGAAAGTTCGGTTCATGTGCTTCGGACATGTTGTCAGGAGAGACCAGTCCTTGGAGAAGGGCACCATGCTTGGTCATGTAGAGGGGCAGTGAAAGAGAAGACTCTCAGATGGATTGACACAGTGGCTGCAACAATGGGCTCAAAGCTAGGAACAATTGTGAGGCTGGCACAAGACCAGGCAGTGGTCTGTTCTGCTGGGCACAGGCTTCCTATGGGGCAGAACTGATTCTACTATTTACTATGTAAATAGTAGAAAATCTGTGATGATAATGATGTTTTATTGAGGTGTAGCTTTTTCTTAAAGTTTCTTATTCATGTGAGATCAATAGAATTTCTCTGTTAAATGGTTGTAAGAAGGTAAAGACCAAATTAAAAATATAAAAAATACACAATCTTAGCAGCCAGGTATTGTGATGGGAGCCATCAAGGTCCCCTGAAACTTTGAGATGCATAGTAGCATTATTGAACCTAAAGACCCTGGTGACCAATCTTTATATATAGTAGGAAATAGTAGGAATTATTTCCACCACTACTATTTTAAAGTGTGCCGCTACATCCAAGAACTTTCTATCTTTTGCCTGAATGTCTTACCTAAGCAAGAGCTAAGAGTTTAGAAGTCATAGAACATGTAAAATAATTGCTGGTCAAGCAATTTCAAATTTTGTTTTGATTTTCAGCAACTCCACTAACTTAAATGGTTTTCATTGTAATGAAAATAGTTCCACGCCTCTATGGTCTCTTTCTGCCTCCAACTTTTCAAGCCTAGCAGATTCTTTTCACAGCCTGAGAGCCCAGAGACCTTGAGCAGCAAAGATTCAATTTTCAGATTCCTCCCAGCTTCCACTTTATGCCTATTTACTTTCATGCCTAGTTTATGCTTCGGGACCAAGAGATTGTTAAATAAGCATGAGTTAATTAGGGGGCTACCATTACAGGGGGAGACTATCGGAGGGAATGTGAGTTTGAAACCTGTGGTTCCAAAACATTGTTGTTCATTGGAATCACCTGGAAGCACTGCTTCATGACAATAATATCTTACGAAATAAAAGAAAAAAAATGTAGTTGTACAAAGCATTCCCTAAAAGATACCCCCCCACACCATTCACCATTGGATCTGTGAGCAAACAGTGGGGGGCACTGAGCCCATCTCTTTATTTCCCCAAGTAGGTAAATGAATTGCTTTATGGAAACCATGGTACCCTTCTCATTTGGAGTTTATGTTCAGGCTTTTGATGTCCCTCCAATAAAGAAATAGAATCGCTTACTATATTTTAGCTAAGGTATTACTTAAGTTTATGAAGTAATCTATAATAAATATGAATGATTGTTTTCATCCTCGTGCTATGTGAATCTAAAGTAGAACATAGATTCTGGAGGTTTTTGACTCACTATAGATCAATTAAGATGAGGGTATATATGTAGATTATTTAATTTGTGTGACGAACAAATCCTGGGGTGAGAGGCGGGGTTAAATGTCAGGATCTTAGCATGTCAATTTGGATCTCCAAGTCTTGTAAGAACAGCAAACTACTTAAATAGCAAATTAGTGTGACATTAAATTTACAGTCACAATGGAGCTAATATCTTATATTTTAGACAAATAATTTTTAAATAGTCCCTTTTGGAAAAATCACCAGTGTATATACTACCACTCTGTTGTAGTTCCTTCAAAATGGAGTTGCAGTACCTGTGTAGTTCGGGTTGAATATCTATGTGCTGAGTGACATGCTCCCAAAGATAAGGAGCAAGGAATCCAAAAATAAACATGCCAAGAATGATAGATACTCTGCCACTTGAAAACTTTCCAAGTTAAATGTAATGTGCACTGACACCTAAAAGATGCTTATGATTACCTGATTTGAGACTGCATGCGTATTCTGATGCCAGTTAGATTGTGGACGCGTGAAAGCAGTGACTAGTTATGTTGAAAAGATCTTCATGTCTGAATCAAGCCAGCAATATCTTTTCTCGTATCTGAAGGACCACAGCATTCATCACATTGTTACTCGATTCTATTTGATTTGTTGGCATTAGGTGCCAGCCAGTGATTCCCAGCTCCTGGTGGCACTGTGTTCGGCAGAGTAATACATTGTCCAGTCCTGTGCTCACCTCACCAGTTCTCTTATATTTGACCCCCTTGTTGGAACCAATGTGTCAATACATTTCACCAACGGCCTTTCTCTTTTTCTCTGCTCCTTCACTTTACCAAGCATGATGTCATTCTCCAAGTACTGGTCTCTTGTGATGACAGGTCATCTCTTAACCTTTTCTCTACTTTATTTACACACACACACACACACACACTCACAAAGATGTGTGTGTGTGTGTTGTCATTGTTGTTTGGTTTTGGTGCTGATAAGTCAGTTCCACCACAGAAGTCCTATGTTTAACAGAATGAAATGCTGCCCAGTGGCAGAGCTTAAACATTGGAATCTATGAGACTTGTAGTCTACTGCTGGTGTTGTTAATCCTTAGCTCTGTGCCTCGAGATTTAGTTATTCTCCTTGATATCCTATATGCTTGTACTAGTCAGATGAGTATATGTCAGCTAGATACTCCTGGCTAGGGACCGACCTAGCAATTGCATCACAGCCTGATGCTATGCTCTTGGGAGTGTGTGGCCTTCTTATAAGCAGGGACCATGGGGCTCATCCTCTGTTTCTCCCCTATTGCCTGCCTGCTTGCTTACCACACTGATAGCTGCCAGAGTCTTGGGTTATTTCCACCTATCACATGACTCTACAACCACTGGCCTGATCTGCCTGCGTTCTGCATCATTGCATATAACTTCGTGAGTCTAAAGAGAGCCTTATAGACTACTATCGGACATATGGACTTGAGTTGGACTGGGCTGGGAAGATTTCTTGATATATTATTACGTCTTGATATACATCTCATATGTATTTATATGAGATACACATGTATGTATGTATACATATGTGAATGTCACTGAATTTGTTTCTCTAGTCTACCTTCCTTAACACAATGCTCATCTATAAGATAGTTGTATCATTTAAAACCTATAAGGTAACTAAGTTCCTTTTTGCCAGTTATGATTGAATTTATTTCAATTTATGGTGGCCCCATGTCTGTTAGAGTAGAACTGCATTCCATAGGGTGTTGTTTTTTTTTTTGGTGGCTATTTTTGTTGTTTGAATTTTTGATTGGGAACTGGGTGAAGGTTTACAGAGCAAGTCAGTTTTCCACTCAACAATTCACACATGTTTTTGTTTGTTTGTATGTTTCACGTCATTGGTTGGAAGCCTCACAATGTAACATCCCTCATCGCACTTCCTCCCAGTGCTTCCTATTTCCATGCAGATTCTTGCTTAATCCTGCCTGTCTTCTGGATTTTGTCCTTGGGCCTATGCTGCCCTTTGGATCACAAAGCGTAAATTATTCCAAGGAGATAACTAAATTCTTAATAAGGTGTTATTTTATTGATTGACTCAATGCCTTGTGAAGCCCATTGGTAGTTGCCCAACAAGTGATAATTCCCTGTTTGGCCTTCATTTTATAGTTAGTGTCCTCATATAATTTGAAAGAT